CGTGTGCCCCGCGGCGCCCCGAGTGCCCTCCTGGGCACCCGGCGCGGCCATGGCGCGGAGCCTCCGGAGCTGGCTGGGCGGCTGCCTGCTGGTGTCAGGTGAGGGGCCTGCGGGGAGGGGGCGCCGGGCGATCTCCGGGGCGCGGGCTCGTCCGCGCGGCTTCCCGGGCCTGGCTGCCTGCGCAGGGACCCCGACCCGCCTTGGCGCCGCGTCCCCACCCGAGGTGCGTTTGGGGACCGGGAGGCCCGGCGAGGTGCGCTTTGCTACGACGCGCGGCAGCGATGGCCCCACGGGCGATCCCCGATCGGACCCCTAGACGCACTGATCGGGTCGCCATGGCCTCTCATTCAATCCTCAGCACCCCAAGACTGAATTCTGCCCCTCGCCTCCGCAGCTGTGTGGACTCTGAGTTCTAAATCCAGTGAAACCTTTACTATGCTCTAAATTGCCTGCCCAAGTTCAGACAACACAGTGGACCCCTCCCTCCTTTCTAATGAACTCATCCCTAGCCTTCCCGGTACCACACTCGCCCTGTTTTCCTCCTGCGTCTCAGGCTGTTTCTACTTGGGATCCTCCACCTCGCCCAGATCTCTCTACAGCCAAGGTCATGCCAGAGCCCTCTTGTCTTCTTCCGCTACACCGCCACTTTGGGGGCTAGCAGCAGAGCCCTGGCATTAAATACCAGCTAGGACAGTGACTCTCAACTTTATATTTCAGTTGGCACTAGTTGGATGATGGGCCAGTGGTGGTTTGTTATACTCTCTCTACTTTTGTGTGTGTTTGACATTTTCTATTTAAAAGTTTAAAAATGATTTCTCTTTCTAGCTCAAATCTGTCTCTGGGCTCCAGGCTTGTTCATCCAGCTGTTTCTGACATTCCTATTTGTACCTCCTCCAGCTTCTCAAACCTAATGCAAATTCTAAAATAGGATTCTTGATTTCCCTGCCGCCAGCCCCAGTCAGGGCATCAGATGCTTAAACCAGGAATGGATATTAACTTCTGCTTCTCCACACCCAATGTATCAGGAAGTCTGGAGCTTATACCTCTGGAAATATACCTAAAATCCATCTACCCACCCCCTCACACCTTTCTACCACCACCCAAATCCAGGTCACCCTCATCCATCCCCACTTCCCTCTGGGTCTCTGCTCCCTCCCACCCCCAGCAATTTCTTCTCGTGGCTCTTCAAGTAAAACCTAGACTCCTCAGCACAGCTACCATGTGTCTCTCCCTCACCCACGTGCCCATTTGAAGACATGGAGCACTAGGGGAGACACTGCCCAGTGCAGGATATGGTCATTTCCTGGGGCATCCTTTTTGAGGAAAAAAGTTGCAAACGTTTTCTCTTTATTTTTACAGCATTAGGAATGGTGCCACCTCCTGAAAATGTCAGAATGAATTCAGTTAATTTCAGGAACATTCTACAGTGGGAGTCTCCTGCTTTTCCCAAAGGGAATCTGACTTTCAGAGCTCAATACCAAAGGTGGGTGTAGGGGAGGAAAAACTATTCCTCTACCCTCTAAGTCCTTCTGGCTGGTCTAAGAAATAAATTGACGTGAGACAGAATAACAGGAGAAAATCAAAGTTTGATAACATGTATACATGGGAGAAACCCAAGAAAACTGAGTAACTCACCAAAGTGGCCGAAGCCATCACCTTAAATACCATCTTCAGCTAAAGATAAAGCAGGATGTTGGGGGTGGTGGTTTGGGACTTCAAAGAGGAGGAAGGCAATTCACGTGGAGACGGAAAAGCAAATGTTTGATAAACAAATGTTTGCTGGGCCATCTACAGACAGTGTGACCTGAGAGAGAACTTTGATAAGAATGAGCTCAGCGAGGATCCTCCCAGTCTATTATATCCAGAGTTATCTGTGGTGATGGACTGTCCTGGGAACAGGCCTTCTATTTTAAATTCTTTTAGGCAGTTAGGAAGAAGGTCAAAGTTTCCTTCAGATTCTTTTCTCCTCAAAAATAATCAAGCCAAAGAGACACATTTTGGAGTGGCCAATTCTGATCCCCCACATGGCTCTGGGGTGCTCTTGGCAGGAAGGCTTCAGAGGATAGTGGCCCTGGGCTGGATCACGGGAGAGAATCTGATTGCTGTCACCCACGTGACCATGACAGCCCACAGGGAGCCTCCCTCCTGGCTTTTTTCTTTCTTTTGGGGAAATTCTTGTGAAAGCTCTGTTCTCTGAAAACAGACAAGTAAAATCCTTTTTACTTTTTCCTGTTGTGATGATTCATGGTTTGGTGATTACCACTGGGCTGCCTGGTAGATACATTTTATCTTGTGGGTGTGGGTGTCATTGGCCACAGTGGTAGCCTACTGCAATGCAAATGGATCAGGTTTGTCACAATTGATATTTTTTAAGAGAAAAATGCTGCTGATAACATCTCCAGTTAATCAAGTAGTATTGCTAGAAATCAACAATTTATGGTTGGAAGCTATCCAAGAAAACTGAGATATGCAAAGCAGTGAGGAAGGCCCTTGCTGTGTTACCACCCACCCCCTCTAATAGATTATAACTGCACGCTCCAGTGCTGCGGGGTGCAGATAGTTTGTGTAGTGGGTGCTTGGTTACTCCATGGCTACTTCCTGAAATTGCAAGTGAGACAGCTATGGGCTTTTAAAAGCTCTGTTCTCTGAAAACAGCAGAGGCCTATGAAGGAAGGATGAGTGTCACTCAAAGCGACTATCTCAGTGGTGCTTTGACCCCCTGCCCTATCAGTTTTTCCCTGTGCCAGCCCTCCTCTGGCAGCCTGCCACCATATACCACGAGCTGGACTGCAGGTGATGCACCTTTATGCCAGGTGCAGACAGCAGCAGGAGGCCAAAGGCTGATGAGCCAACACACCTGCTTCTAATGTGACTCAGAAACATACAAAGATAGACAACCCTTCAGTGAGGCAGGACCCACTGTGAGTCCTGGATCCCGTTAATCCCACACTCCTTCTCATCCAGCTTTCATTTTACAAACCTATCCAAGGCCTGCTAAGTCAGCGAAGAAGCAGAAAAATGAATAAGATGGGCCTTGTTTACATTTTTTTTTTTAACTTTTTAGTTTGAAATAATTCCAAGACGACAGAACATTTCAAAATTTCAAGTATAGTACAAAGAACTTCCAAACAGCTCACATCCAGATTCACCAATTTTTCAGGTTCACCACATTGTCTCTCACCCTCTCTCTGGTACATAATGCCTTTGGCCCTTAATATTTCATTGTGTATTTCACAAGAGCAAGGATAATCTTTTACATCACCACAGTACAGTTACCAAGATTAGCAGCTTTAACACTGATAAAATACTTTCATCCAATCTATGGTCCATAGTCCAGTTTTGTCAGTTTTCCCAAGGGCTTAAGTCATTCTGCGACTTATTTTTTTCGTAGCACTGATTGGTTTTACAATTTCATCTCTGTGTTTTCTCCGCTCGATCTTGATAGCTCTAGAGATTTCACCGTGGAAAATTAACTTCTCTCTCTGTCTGTCTCTCTCCTCTGGAGTTTATTTTTTGACTCTTCGATTTTTTGCTTCTTTGCCTTTAGAGTAGAGGTGTTTGGTTTGGGGTGTTCGTCTTTTAGATGAGAGTTCCCAGAGACTCCCCAGTAACAGAGTCAATGCCTGGGTTCCAGTCTGCTCAGCCTGGAAGTGCAGACCAAGCGTGGCATGCACTGGGTGTGTCTTTGAAGAAGACATCTGATCCTGAAAAATCTGATTACTCTTCTCTGGCTCAGTAAGAGATTTCTTTAGAATTTAGCCTGAGCGGTTGCATAGCACAGACTCTGTTATATGCATGCATTGGGTAGGCTTGGCCAGAGGAGGGGCACTTCAGAGGATGTATTGGTGATTTTAATATACAACCATCTAAAGCAATGAGGTATAAATATGGGGAATGGGTCACATTACCTATTTAATGGGAAGAAAAATATTTTTAAATGTAATAAAAATGACCTAGTGAAAGAGAAGTTATTAGAAAACAACTTTTGAAATACTCTGTGTTCCAGCCAACTGATGCACTGGTTTAAATGAAGGATATGACCCCATGTGAGAAAACCCCCTTAATGAAATGACCCTTGGATTTTCCAAATGATGGGCTGTGAGGCAGCCATGAAGAGTTGATTGATGGAGAAATGTTTGTAGTATATTAAGTGAAAAAAGGGCAGATTGTAAATAGTATGAGCCTAATTATCTCTACCTACTAGGAGTGTGATGGGGTGTAGTATGGGCCCTGAGACTGTGGGCTCTAAAGTCAAACTTGAGTTCCATTGGGCAAGTTTCTTAGTCTCCCCAGGCCTGTGCCTCATCTATGAAATAGGAGTGATTTCGGTTCTGCCCTCCTGAGGTTGTGAAAATTCAGTGAGATCAGACTGATAAGACACTTTGCCTGACACCTAAGTGCTTGACAAGTGTTGGCTGTTATTATTTTCATCAGCATCATCTTCATTGTCACCTCTAAAGGCAGCCAAACCGGCTTTAGCACCAAGACCAGAAGGAGTACTGAGGAACCAGTCAGACAAAATCCTCACTCTTTGCAAGACAAGAGCTTGGGTTTCCTTAAGTCAGGTGGAGCTTATTACACCTTTCAGGCTGTTGTGAGGTTAAGTTACAGCCCCTGGTAGGTGTTTCCAACCATCCCTTTTCTTCATCCACTTCATGTTTCTGCCACGCTCCCTTCAGTGGTTGGTGTCAGGGCTAGAGATCTGAGATCAATTAATTGTTTTACAATTTTTCTAAAGTAATTGAACAATAGTCACTTATAAGACATTATTTTAAATCATTGTAAGGTACTTATTTTGGCTAATCTGTGTATATCAATATTGTACAAACCGTGTCCCACTGCTTTCAGAAATACATAATCAAGGAAGGAAGTTTTCTTGGTCAAATATGTTGAATACTCAACTCCTTTTTGGAGAGGCACATGCTCATTAGAATATGAAAGTCTGGGCCGGCCCCATGGCTTAGCAGTTAAGTGCGTGTGCTCTGATACTGGCGGTCTGGGGTTCAAATCCTGGGCGTGCACCGATGCACTGCTTGTCCGGCCATGCTGAGGCTATGTCCCACATACAACAACTAGAAGGATGTGCAGCTATGACATACAACTATCTACTGGGGCTTTGGGGGAAAAATAAATAAATAAAATTATTAAAAAAAAAAAAAGAATATGAAAGTCTCTGATATGAAACTTTCACTTAGGGTATGAAAGTTCTGTTGTGAAGACAGACACCTGTTTATGTTTCACCCAGTTTTTGCCCCAAATTGTTTGACCACACGATGGATTATTTTTGAAACATACCAAACCTCTTATTTTCAAGTTCCTCTGCCTGATGCGCAAGAAGCCAATCACTGAGACGTTGGTGCTTGGAGATGGAGAAAAGTTTATTCCAGTTGGCCAAAATGAGAAGGCAGGAAGATAAGTTCTCTCAAATTCACCTTAACAAGAGAAGAAAGCAGGGAGTTTATAGAGCTAAGGGACTTGGGAGGAGGAGTTTTGGAGAAACAAAGGGGGAAATCGGTATTTCTTTCACTCCAGATAAGCCCTTGGGCAGTCAGACTTCTGGGCATCAATGGCAGCTGGGCGCTGTTATCTGATGATTGTAACTTCCTTGAAGGCATCTTTTTTCCTCTGCAAAACAAGCTCATAAATCCTTATGACTCTTGAGTCACCCCTCAAATTAAGCAAGAAAACAGCAAATTAACAAGATTAACTTCTTTTCATCTGTGTCTATGTTGGGAACAAGGTCGAAGGGTGATCATGTTCTTATTGAACATTTACAGTAACTCTCAGGTACCCAGCTTCAAAATGTCTTATGATATCTCAAGGATCATTAAGATGTGCTCTCATGGAGCACAGTTTGGAAAACGCTCATATAAATGATGCGTACTGTTCATCAAAATTGATGATTAAGAGTTTGCTTTATTTTTCTTTCATTATCCTGCATTATCCTTTGGTGGCAGAGGGAATAAAGCACCAGTTAGCCTCAGAGAGACTGGAGTTAGAACTCTCATGATTCTTTCTGATTTTGTAGTTATAGGAAATTCCAAGATATATGCACGAGTACTGCCTTGACGGAATGTGATTTCTCAAGTATTTCCAAATATGGTGACCATACCTTGCGAGTCAGGGCTGAATTTGAGGACGAGCATTCAGACTGGGTAAACATCACCTTCTGTCCCGTGGATGACAGTAAGCCACTTTGTTTCCCATTTCATTGTAATGTCATCATCTTGCATCAGTTTTTCTCCCATTGGTTGGCCCATCGGCAAGAAATCTTTGAGTAGATGGCCTTTCACAAGGAGCTTAGGGAAGATGATAAAGAGGGCTATGGCTTTTAAGAAGTTTGTGGGAGAGACAAGAAAGGATAAGCATAAAGTCAAGAAAATACTTACATATAAATTTAATAACTAGTGCCTTGAGCATGAGAATGAGTTGGTTCCAGTACTGTTAATGAGAAGAACTGGAAGGATTAATGTAGTAAATTTTCTGGGAGGAAGTCAATTTGGAATTATGACTTAAAGAAATGTGACATGATAGGCAGAAGAATAAAGGTTATTCTGGGCAGATGTGGAGATAAGAAGACCAGATACAGACAGCCAGCTTATCCAGAATGAAGGACAGAGGGATGGATGCAGCTGATGGCAGATGAGTTGGGTCAGGCTGGCTGGTAAGCATTGAAAAGAATGTTCCCAGGTTAGATCTGGAGGGTCCTGGTAACTCACCAGAGGTCATGAGATGAACATAATTAGAACATCAGAAATTAAAAACTAATTAAACCGCCATAGAGCAATTGAGAGAACAAGAGGATAAGGAGTTACAAGAACATTAACAAAACTCAAGTGCAGCCTTCCAAGGAGTAGACAGAGAGAAGCTTTAGAAGAATTGTCAATGTAGGGAGGGGTCTTTGTATCATCCCCTGCTCTGGACCCCCATGGCACCCACAATTTCACCCTACCTGGTAGGGAATGGGGCTAGGATGCCCTTCTGCCCTTTCCCAATTCTGTCCCAGGTTCAGGTAAAAAACTCTTATTTCTGGAGTCAGAAATTATCAAAGTTATATTATCTTTTCTAAAAGTATCTTTATACAAACTAAGAAAAAATGAACACTAAAAAATACAAATAGCTTAAGAATGGTCAAGTTTGCAAAACATAGTACAAGGTTTCTGCTCCTATAATTGCTGACTGACTCACTGGGTCCTGACTGGTTCCAAATTTTAGGGCCCATCTATGAAAATTTCCTTTAGAAACTGATACAGAATAGATAGGCAGCTTGCCCAAAGGTCACACAGGTAATGAGTGGCCGAGCAACGATTCAGACCCAGGCTCCTGCGTCTGCGCTCTTAGCAGTGACTACCCTACGTTGGATATTTGCGTCTTGAAGTTTATATGATAGGAAAGTGCTTCAAGATGTCACATGGAACCTATTTATACTTGCTTTGGAAAAATATCTAATTAAGTTTTCTTATGCGGTTTTCTGCTACTAGCAGATTAGAAACAAGGTAGAATGCCAGGAGCAGGCCCATTAGCAGCCCCCAAACAGTAACAGCAGCCAGAGAAGAATACAGGCTATAACTCAAACAGTCCAGTTGCCCCGAGCCATTTATTATTCATTCTACAATTAATTTTGAGGACCTACTGTGTGCCAGGTACATTCTTAGTGCTAAAGCTACAGTAGTGAACAAAATAAAATCCCTGCCCTTGTGGAGCATGCATTCTAATGGGGAACACAGATAATAAACAAATAGGTACATATTTTATGACAGATGGTGACTGTGGCTCTCAAGAAAATAAAGCAAGGTACTGAAGCAGGAAGTGATGGGAGCTGCTCTTTACATAGCGTGGTAAGAGACAGTTTCTCTGAGGAGGTGACATTTGAACTGAGACCCAAACAAAATGAAAGGGCCAGCCACATGAATATCTAGTAAAAGAGCATTCAGAAGGCAACAGCTTCAGCCTTTGTTGGAAAAGGTATATGGTTAATTATATATGTTAAACACTAAAAGTAATAGAAATACCATCTGTAGCTTCCAACCTAGCAAAGGAAATAAAGAAAATTCAACCCAACAGAAAGAAAAAAGAGGAGAGGAAAAAGCCAAAAAGAAAAGTTTTCTTTACAGGAAACACAAAATAATGTAGTTGGAATAATTCCAAATATATAAGAAATCACAATAAATATAAATGGACTAAACCTGATTGATAAAGGCAAAGTTTGTCAGATTTTTTTAAAGAAACAAAACGCAACTACCCTCCTTAGCCACATCAGTCAACATCATAGCGATGGTATATCAAAGAGCAGAGTACTTCTGTAGACCAAGTGGTCTGCACAGTTATGAAAAATAAATGTTAACATTTTTAAAATGTGATTTTTGACTGTTGTTTTGTTCTCATACTTAGCCGTTATTGGACCTCCCGGATTGCAAGTAGAAGCACTTGCTAATTCTTTACATATGCGTTTCTTAGCCCCCCAAATTGAGAATGAACCTGAAACATGGACCATGAGGAATATTTATGACTCATGGACTTATAATGTACAATATTGGAAAAATGGCTCTGATGAAAAGGTAAGCTCAACGAATCATATGTATTCAAGACATAAGCTCCCTGTTCTTTGTTCAGTGTTAGTCTGAGGCCATGACAATGGAAAGAGGAGTCCAAGAGGTCACTAGTCAGGGTCTTGCAAGGTGGCAGTACCTTACGGTCCAGAGGATCTAAGGCCTGGTCCTCTGAGTGCCAGAAATTCCCAATCTGAAAGATGACCAGTATCTCTGGCTCACGCTTCCTGGACCCCAAGGGAAATGCATAGAGAAGACTTCCAGGGTTGCTAGCTCAGTGACAGCAGGCTTTTCCCTCCCTGAAGGGAAGTTGCAGAAGGCAGAGCTGACTCAGTGGTTTGCTGGGGGAACTTGGAGTCAGCTGAATCAGATGATCAGCTGAGTGACTACTCTTTCATGTCACGAACCCTCGTGCCCCATGTATGCCACAGAATGGTCAAGTCTGTGGTCAGGGCAGCCCCACCCCATTGCTCTCCTCCTCTCCTCCTCTTCAGGGGACAGTTCCTTTAAAAACATGGGCTGGGAGTGGAAAGACCCACTTTCCACTGGAATGTTGCCCATGTCACTGTCTCACTCTGGTCATGTTCTTGACCTCAACTTCCTCATGTCTGCAAAATGAGCATAATAACCCACTTCATTAATAAAGTGGCGATACTAACCGGCTTCATAGGATTGTTAGGGAATTTAATGACATAATGAAAAAAATAAACTTGTTCCATTGCCTGAACAATGTATATCGTCAATACGTGAGGTCCCCTTCCCCTTATGTAGACATGTTAAGGCTATTTTCATGCATCCTTGGTCAAGTTTTATTCTTATATTTAGTGCCTCTGATCTAAAGGGCGTTTGTGGTCCTAAACTGACTTACATATATGTTATGTAAGTTAAGTTACATATGTGTTATCTCCTCGCTGTTAAATGTTGATTTTATCACTTAATTCTCAAGAGTTTGGGAGGAAAGGGTCACCCATATGTATTGTCTTAGGAATGATGTAATTAAATTTATATGTACATACTGCGTAGCCCAAAAAAATCTCAAGTTAATTTTTCCTGCCTAAAAAATGCTCCATTAAAAATGATGCAGGATATCTGCCTTCTTCACAGAATAGACAATTTTGCTTATAGTCAAGACCCTAGGAAATGTATGCCTAGAAAGCAATACAGAAAAATTAGTTTTATGGTCACTTATCAAATGCAAGTGTCTCTGTGAAGCTCCAGGATGCAAAGATAAGACGGGATTGCCCCACTCAAGGACTTAGCAGTGTACTTGAAATAAAGATTGGATTCCACAGTTACCATGCCTGGGTGCCTCTTGCACCAAGCTTGAAATACAAAACCCAGTTTATCTTTAGCTCCTTGTCTGGAATATGCCCACAGCACAGGCATCTGGTTACACATTTGTCTGCACTGTTGTATGGAAGCCTTTGATGTGACATGCTGGGTGTTGGAAAGGCTGCCTGCTCCCCTGGTCCTCCCTCACTGGTGCCTGCAGTGTTACCATTTCCAGTTTACATGTGCTGTGAACTGAATGTTTGTGTCCTCCCCCCAAATTCATATGTTGAAACCTAATCCCCAACATGATGGTATTAGGAGGCGGGGCCTTTGGGAGATCATGAGGTCATAAAAGTGAGGCCCTCATAAATGGTTTAGTGCCCTTATAAAAGAGACCTGAGAGAGTTCCTTTGTCCTTTCTGCCACGTGAAGATGCAGCCAGAAGATGGCGGCTATAAACCAGGAAGCAAGTCCTCACCAGACGCCAAATCTGCTGGTGCCTTGATCTTGGACTTCCCAGCCTCCAGAACTGTGAGGCATAAATGTTTATAAGACACCCAGTCTGTGATGTTCTGTTATAGCAGCCCGAAAGGAATAAGACAATATGGTTCCCTTTTGGAATGTAAATGTTTATGAGAAGGTGCCATGTTAGGTCCCTAAACTAAGAGTATAAAAGGCTTTTGGAAATTCTGTTTCTTCCTGATGGGAGGAAGTGAGAAGATAAAACCAGAAGTTGCCCAGAAGTGAAAGAAGGCTAGAAAAAGCCATGAAAGGGACATAAGCAGGTCCCTTCACACCTGTGCTTTCTTCTTCTCTTCCTGCCACTTATGGGCCAGCTTCTGAGTTTAGTCTTTGAAAAAATAGCATTGTAAGGTTTTAGAGGTATTGGATTTCTAGAAATGACAGCCAGGATTTTTTGTTTTTATTTTTGTTTTTAATTATTAGAAGTTATACATATTCAATTGGTATAATCCAATTCTTGCCCTCGATGAGCTTGGCTTCTCATACAATAAAGGACTACAGACAAGATGTCAACAAACCCAACCCCAAAAGAAAAATAACAATTAATAAAATAAAATAAGAGTCCGTGCTCACTTTATATTGAAGTTCCTATTCATGTAACAAATTTTGCATAGGACCCTTCTATGAGGAAATTATAACCACGATGGAGACACGAGTCACATATACTCTTTCAATCCCCTTTATTTGCCTGGAACTATTTTGGTTTCTCAAATGCAGGAAGGTATCGTCAATTATGATGTCTTATATTCACATTAAACTAAGATGGTTCAGGACTGTCTGCACCAGAGACAGGCTATGGTGTGTGCCCTTGAGGTGAGGTGGGGCCGCTGGAGGAGGACAGCCCAGGTGCACGAGTGGAGAAGTGATTCAGAGGAGAACAGGCAGCCAGGGTCAGAAAGACACTCTTGACTTACAAAGAAAACCACCTTGAGTCTTACTGGTGTATTAGTTTGCTAGGGCTGTTGTAAGAAAGTACCACACACTGGGCAGCTTAAACAACAGAAATGTACTGTCTCAAGGTTCTGGAGGCTAGAAGTCCAAGATCAAGGTGTCGGCAGGGTTGGTTCCTTCCAAGGACCGTGGGGAAGAATCTGTTCCGTGCCTCTCTCCTAGCTTCTGGTGGTTTCCTGGTAACCTGGTTCCTTAGCTTGCAGAAGCATCACCCAATCTCTGCCTTCATCTTCAGATGGCGTTCTCCCTGTGTGCATGTCTGTGTCCAAATTTCCTCCTCTTATAAGGACACCAGTCATACTGGATTAGAGTCCACCCTAATGACCTCATTTTAACTTGATTGTCTCTGTAAAGACCCCATATCAAACTAAGTCGCTTTCTAAGGTACTAGGAATTAGGACTTCAGCATATGAATTTGAGGGGATACAATTCAACCTATACGACTGGTTTATCTTTTTAAAAAAGGAGGTGGAATGCTTTGTATGTCATTTAAACTAGAAAATTCAGGAAGTGAGAGGGTTGGTCGGGACCACAGTCAGTCCTTGCCCCATCCCTTAGAATGGTATCAGGGTTCTCTGAAATGAACTGGGAGAGCACCTGTTTCCTTCATCTTCCTATTTTGAGCCTGAGGTAAAGATTATAACTATTAAGTGTGTGGGGGGGGGAAAGATGGTGTGCCTTCACTGCTGAGACATGTTCTTATTTTTGTCTTTGTTACTAGTATCCGATTGCTTGTCAATATGACTTTGAGGTCCTCAGAAATCTTCAGCCACGGACAACTTACTGTATTCAAGTTCAAGGGTTTCTTCCTGATCGGAACAAAACCGGGGAATGGAGTGAGGCTGTCTGTGAGGAAACAACCATTGACGGTGAGTCTTGAGATGCACGGCCTGTGATTCTACCTCCTCTGAGCATTTTAAACAGCTATATAGACTCCCAATGGGTGTTAGGATTGGAAGGCTCCTTAGATATTCACATCCAGCTCAAAGTGCAACCCAGTTCAGCCCTGACTGATCGACTTCATGCTGGGAAGGAGACCACCACCTTCTGAGGCAGCTAGCTCGTTCACTCTTAGACCAAAGCGATTGATGGACGCGGCTTCTGTCCGGGGAGCTGAGGTCTGCCTCCGGGCACCCACCTCCTCTGTGCTCATTCTGTCCTCTCGGGCTCCCTGAAGCAAGTCTCATCAGTCCTCCCAAGACCACCCAGCAAGGTCAAGCCCCATCACACCCCTCAGAAGCCTTTCCTTCCCAGGCTGCACATCTCCAGCTCCTTCAGACACGTGATGGGGAGAGTTTGGAAGCTCTATCACGTCCTCAGCAAGCGCCTCTTGCTTCAGGGTCTCTTGTAAAATATGGTACCAGGACCTCAGCAGAGTCTTTCACATATGACGCGGACCTCAGTGTCTAACAGAGTGTCTCCACTCTTGGTGTTTCTTAAAAAACAGAGCAGGAAAGGGAAGGAGGAAAAGAGAGAGAAGGAAGGGTACCAGTTGGCCTAGACACTGAGATCATTTACACACAGACACATTGCAGTTGCATACGAGGTGATAAAACTTGTGGCCTAGATGTCTGCACACAAATGACAGGCCTTTTTATTTTTTATTTTTTTAATTTTTTGTTTTATTTTATTCGTTTTTTAATTTAATTTTTTTGTTGAGGTCACATCGGTTTATAACATTAAAATTTCAGGTGTACATCATTATATTTTGATTTCTGTGTAGATTACATCGTGTTCACCACCCAAAGTCTAATTACCATCCATCATCACACACATGTGCCCACTCATCCCTTTCGCCGTCTCCCATCCTTCTTCCCCTCTGGTAACCACCAGTCTATTCTCTGTGTGTATGTATTTGTTTGTTGCTTTTTTATCTTCCACATATAAGTGAAATCATATGGTATTTGGCTTTCTCCATCTGACTCATTTCACTTAGCATAATACCCTCGAGGTCCATCCATGTCACAAATAGCATGATTTTGTCTTTTTTTTATAGCTGAGTAGTATTCCATGTATATATATATATACCACATCTTCTTTATCCATTCATCTGTTGATGGGCGCTTGGGTTGCTTCCAAGTCTTGGCTATTGTGAATAATGCTGCAATGAACACGGGTGCATGTATCTTTTCAAATTAGTGTTTTCGTGTTCTTTGGATAAATACCCAGAAGTGGAATAGCTGTATTATATGGTAGTTCTATTTTTAATTTTTTGAGGAATCTCCATACTGTTTTCCACAGTGGCTGCACCAGTTTGCACTCCCACCAGCAATATATGAAAGTTCCCTTTTCTCCACATCCTCTCCAACATTTGTTATTTCTTGTCTTTTTTATAATAGCCATTCTGATATGCTCAGGTGAGGTGATATCTCATTGTGGTTTTGATTTGCATTCCCCTAATAATCACTGATGTTGAATATCTTTTCACATGCCTGTTGGTGACAGGCCTTTTTGTTATTTAAAGATGTTGTCGAGAGGCTCAGCCAGCTCAGACCACGGAAGGATGAATACATGCAGGTCCACTCCTGGCCATTCGCATTTACCAAGGCCCTCCTGGGAGCAAGGCACTGATCTGGGGGCTACAAAAATATGAAGGAGAATAATAAAGATTTCCCTCCAGAGAGAGAGCAAAACTTTTCATCTTCTGTGTCACTCTGCAGTTCTGCGAAAATTGTAATGGTGCAATCACATTTATTCATCATTTCAGCTGATGCAATTCTTCTTGAATGAGGGTTCTTGTCACTGAACATATTTCTCACCCAATTTTGCTTGGTCTCATCTACTAATTTGCTAGGAAGAGCTTCAGGATCCTTACCAGTTTGTTACTTAAACAGTTGGTGTGCTCTAGGACACAGCTTTCTTTGAGACTGCCCAACTACTTGCTTACTGGTCACCAATCCATCTGAACATAGTGGACTGTCATATAAGTTGTTTTATTTTATTGTCCGCCAGGTGATTGTGAAACACTTGAGCAAATATCAGCTGAGATCGATACCCAATGCCAAGTTCAGTGTTGCCCCAACTGTGTCCCATGAGTGTTTATGGATATTTCTCAAAAGAGGAGCCCTGTAGTCAGGTGTGCCTGGAAACAGTGGTGCCTGTATTTCCCTCTCAGAAAAGTCACCCTGTACGTTAGCATTTTTAGCGTATTTGATCTTTCAACATATTTTTTGAGAATTAGCAATCCGAGAAACACAGCTTGGGAAAAACCAGCCTATAACATGCCGTAATTTAGCAACAAGTCACCGTGTCCAAAAAAGGGAAATCAGCCACTTTGAGCTAATTTCTTCTTGGTGCCCTAATGTTATTATTTTTAGTTATCATCCTTATCTTTTTTAAGGGTTTGTAATTAACCACTTCATTATCCATTCTGGAATATTTGTATTTTTTCTGGAGATAGCATCAGTAAGCATCAAGATTACTGGCCTGTAGTTTCCCGAGTCTTGTTGTTGTTTTTTTTTCCTTCTTTTGTAAGTGCACAAATTATTTGCTTGAATCCAGCATTCTTCCACCTCTCCCAGGCCCAGAGTCTTTCCAGTGTCATCCAAAGCTGTTCTGTGATTGTATTAGCAAGCTTCCTCAGGACTGCAGAGCCCCGCAGAAGATGAGAGTCGTGCTGTCTCTCTGGAGAGAATTCTCTGTCACTCTTCTTTCTTTTTCTGTAGCCCCCAACTCAGGGCGTTGCCTCTGCAGGCCCCAGGTCAGTGGCAGAGTGGACCTGCCTGTGTTCCTCCTCCCATAGTCTGAGCTGGCTGAACTTCTCAACAGCACCTTTAAATAACAAGAAGCCGGCCGTTTATGTGCCTCAAGTTATTTTCTAGGCCCCAAGTTATTTTCACAGTCTCTCTATTTTCTCTCATTTTATTCCTCTCTTGAATCATTTCCACATGAATTAGAATTCCATACCATGGGAGCCCCATCCTGCTTGAATCACTAGAGTTCCTGACCTTGGAGGCATCCATCTTTCCTCTACACACCTGCCCTCTGCTTTCCCAAGGCTTTGAGTACATGCCCGGATCACCTAGTGTCCCATCCTTCCCCGCTGTGAACTCCAACATAACGTGTGATGTGGGTCACGTCGTGAACTGCCCTGTGCCTCAGCCGCCTCATCTGCAAAATGGGGGGAATGAAACGGTGCCACCACAGCAGGGTTGGGAGGACTCAGAACAGTGCCCGACAGAGTGAGCCCTCAATACATGTCAGATATTACTATTATTATTATTATTATTATTTTGTGTGTGTGAGGAATATCAGCCCTGATCTAACATCTGATGCCAATCCTCCTCTTTTTGCTGAGGAAGATTAGCCCTGAACTAACATCCATGCCAATCCTCCTCTTTTTGCTGAGGAAGACTGGCCCTGGGCTAACATCTGTGCCCATCTTCCTCTACTTTATATGGGACGCCGCCACAGCATGGCTCGACAAGCAGTGCGTCGGTGCACGCCCGGGATCCGAACCTGCGAACCCTGGGCCGCTGAAGCGGAGCGCATGCAATTAACCGCTGCACCACCGGGCCGGCCCCTGGATATTACTATTATTAATAATGACATTATTAGAATCACATTATTAAATATTCCTAAAGGTTTATGTCATGAAACCTGGCTTGAGGCATACAATTTGACCAAAAAGAAAAATATTTCAAATATTTTGTGACTATAAGTGATCACCCATTAACTGACAAAATCCAAACATTTTATAAAAGAAAAGGAAAAGTCTAACCTGTTGAAAATCCGCTTCTGTCAAACATCATTTTAGGTTTGTTTAAACATAGTTGTCTCATTTAAACCTCACAACAAGTTTTCAATGAGAGCATTGTAAGGCTCTTCTTCCCTTTTACAGACTGGAAGATGAAGGTTCAGAGAGGTGAAGTAACTTGCCCAAAGTCGCTCAGCTAGTAAATGGCAGGGGTGAAACAGAACATAGGCCAGTCTGAGCCCAGGTTATCCTTCCTGTAATTTACAGATGCATTCTCTAGGTAAGAGAAGGCATGCTTTCCCTGCAGATAAAGCAGAGAAAAGTCACCTGCCCAATAGTGTGGTCAGATGGAGCGGCAACAAGTTAGCTTTACGCAGAGGGTGTTGGTTAATAGATTCTCCCACAGTTCACAGCCTGTGTAAAGCACGGTCCTCTCTCCTTCCCCTCTTCTCTCTCGGGGTGAGTCACAGAAGTGTCCTTTGAATTTTGCAACCATCAACCAGGTGTGCCTGTGGAATCTCCTTGTCTAAGATGCTCAGATGTCCTGGCTGGAGACACAAGGACACCCAGACGCTGCCCTCCAGGGCCTCATCACAGTGTCATCAACAATGCCCGGGCTGGCCCAGCAATCAGTGTTTAATCAGCCTTTAATCAGCATTCAATGAGTAATTCTGATGCGTGCTTAATTAGCTACAGAAATATTAAATAGAAAGACGGAGGAGTAGGATCCTGGAACTTCCTCAAGAGCTGGGATGTCAATCCTAGTATCAGCTAGGGTATAGCCTGGGGGCCACTCCAACCAGCTCACTTGTGACGTGACCCTGATTTGCCAAGAAAACATGTCTGAGTCGAACATGCTGGAAGTGTGGGTTAGAAGACAGCTCCCCTTGAGTCTGGTGTCGATGCAAATTACCAATAACCCTTCTATAGATAAGAAGGATAAAGGAGTTTTTACTTTTGAGCCAGCCTGAGGATTATAACCCAGTTTCCACAAGGGAAGAAAGCATTCTGGAGAAACATGATTTTCAGTACAGTCATATACCTTTTGAGAACAAAGAACAGTCATTAAACATGCCCAGGATACATATTCATCAAAGTTTCAAAGAGGTATGCAGTTGCAAATTAGTAGGTCAACACCACCCAGATGTCCGGGAAAGGGAATTTATCTTCAGGAATACTGATACGGGCTTACGGAAACTGGCCTCATAGAAGGGGAAAGATGCATTCTTATCTTAAAAGAGTACATTCTTTTACTTTGAGATAATGTTTAATGCATTCTTTAATGGTTAAAGCAGATGTGCAGTGTATGTCTGATAGGCCATAAGGCAGGCTTCTTTAGTTCAAGCCGAATCAGTTTTAAACCAGAATGGCTGCCCCATATACCTCAGTATGCGAACGTTTCTTCTCACTAGTAAGTGAAACAAGAATTCATAGGGAAACGGATGAGGAGTTCCTCTGAACTGGGCCAGGGCGTACACTGGAAAGATTATGAGGTCACTGCCAGCGTGAATTAAAACACGAAAGAACCAGGGAGGAAGGGAGGCAGGCTCGCCCAGCCTTTTGCCCTTTAGGGAGTGTCTCTGAGCCCCGCACAGTGGTAAGTGCTGGGAGGGGCCAGCATGTCACTCCAGGACCATTTGCTGTTTCAGGGTTTTTTTCTGAACCCTTTCTCTGTAACGAAGAAATGCCTTTTTCCCCCCAAATAATGACTTGCGCGTACAGGGCAGGGCTTGTTCTCTTGGCCTCTCTCAGCACCAAATGCTTTGGGTTTTGATCAGGAGGGTGGTGCTGGTTGCCAGGGGCTGGGCCCAGGGAGGTTAGGAGGCCGGGGCAGCTAGGGAAGGGGCCTAGTGCTGAACCAGGGAGCTACGACCACGAATGACCAGGGCGACATCCTGGATGCTGTCAAACATGAAGCCGGACTTAGTTAAAGCAGTAAAAATGGATTTTATTCAGTAATGACTGCAGGAAGGGAAAGTGCTGACCGGGCATTTTAAAGGAAGAATGGGGGCCGGCCCCGTGGCTTAGCGGTTAAGTGCACGCGCTCCACTACTCGCAGCCCGGCTTCAGATCCGGGGCACGCACCGACGCACCGCTTGTCAAGCCATGTGGGGGGGCATCCCACATACAGCAACTAGAAGGATGTGCAACTATGACATACACCTGTCTACTGGGGCTTTGGGGAGAAAAAGGGAAAGAAAAAAAGGAGGAGGATTGGCAATAGATGTTAGCCCAGGGCCAGTCTTCCTCAGGAAAAAGAGGAGGATTGGCATGGATGTTAGCTCAACACTTATCTTCCTCACAAAAAAAAAAAAAAAAGGAAGAATGAAGGAGGGGAAGGGAACAGAGAGTCAGGGAAGTGAAAAATTGCAAAAGTGAGCATGAGGGTCAGTCAGTTCGGCCATCTGTGTCTAATGCTAACTGACATTTGTCAAGTTAGGCTTCCACCCTCCCACAGAGACTGGTCACTCCTTCCTGATGATTGCATTGTAAAGGAGTTGCTTTCAAGTTCTTGAGAAAGAGGCTCCTGGATTGTAGGAGATACATATTCATCTCAAAGGGACAGAGGAAGGATTTACGATCATAAAACGTTTTATAGTAAGTGCTCTAAGAAAGGAAGGTCAGGTGTTGGCAGAATGAATGGTAATTCTTTTGGCAGCCTTGAGTTTTTCCAGACTGGTGCTGGGTGGGCCCAGCAGCGCGGCCTTTAGGCCGCTAGAGGCCACGCTGGAGTTTGGGCAAGTCTCTGAGTGCAGGGATTTGGATGGAGTCGTCCGCGCCAAGAGCTCTTGCAGTTCTCAGTATAAAACACTGCAGTATAATTCAGGCTCTGGGGCCCCGGGGAGTCCTATTTTCTGCTTCAAGGCAGAAGAGGTTTATCCGGACTGGGAACGCTCATTGCTACCCTGCGAGTAGATAAAGTGCACCAGAGGTCTTGCTTATTATTCTTTTTGAGTATATCAGCAATCATGCCAGAAACCAAACCGGAAGAAGGTAGGAAAGGGATGAAACTTGTTGGCAACCTGTGGATCCTCGAGCAGCTGCTGTGTTTCCTCCTCATGCCTTCCTGAGATGAACGTGTGGGCCCTCTTTCCCGGGATTGCCATTGGATTGTGATGGCGAAAATACTGTTGAGGTCGCTGTGACCCGATCTGTGCATGACAAGAGCGTAACACACCCTGTCGTCCTTGCAGAAACACCCTCCCCCTGGATTGTCGCCATTGTCCTCGCAGCCTCAGTTTGTGTGGCCTTCTTGCTTCTCCTTGGCTGCTCCGCCTTGGTGTGGTGCATTTACAAGAAGACCAAGTACGCCTTCTCCCCAGGGAACGCTCTTCCTCAGCACCTGAAAGAGGTAGGTGGTAGGATGGAGCCAGAGGTGGATGAGAAAACCCTGATTGGAAGGGCCTTCCCTTTTTCCTGGTGAGGAAGATTGGCCCTGAGCTAACATCCATTGCCAATCTTCCTCGTTTTGCTTGAGGACAATTATTGTTGGGCTAACGTCTGTGCCAGTCGTCCTCCATTTTGTATGTGGGACACTGCCACAGCATGGCTTGATGAGCAGTGTGTAGGTCTGCAACTGGGATCCGAACCCGCAAACCCCGGGCTGCCAAAGCGGAGCGTGCAAACTTAACCACTACACCACTGAAGGGCTTTCCTTTAAGTCAGGGCTGCCTAAGTCAGCAGAGCCTCTTTTCCTGGCGGTGACACATGTCTTGCATGGTGGTCCATTCCCCAGCACCCATTTCAGGGAAGTCCATGGTCGTGCAACAGCCCTAAGGAAGGAGGCAGAGGTCAGTTCTGGAAGCCCTCCCTCCAACCTGGATGTTCCTTCCCTGACCTTCCCTGCCTAAAGCCACATGTGGTCAAGGAGCAAAGATGATGGTTCAGGGACAGGAAGAGAAAAAGCAGAGCTCAGAGAGAAGATAAGGAAGAGAAAACTCTAGACTAAGTGCCAGCGAACAGCCAGGGGGAGAGAATAGGGGGAGAGACAGGTGTGTTTTCAGTTTGGGTGTATCTGAGAGTGACTGCAATTACGGGATGTGTATCCTAGACTTTAGGAAAGCTATTTTCAAAAGGTTTAGAAAGAAGAAAGGATGTACCTGGATAGAGACTGTAGGACTGAAGAGGCCCTAAGACATGAAATTCTGGATATACACTAACACTTAAAATGCCAAGTCCAGCCCAAAAAGAACCTATCTTTGGTCTCATTCCCCAGGAAACAAACTCTGAGACCGAGATTTGCATTCAGAAGGCTTGATGGGGAGTACCCTTGGGAATAATACCCCTAAGGAAGTGAGGGCAGCAGGATGGGAGAGAGAGAGAGGCTGAGCTGTGATAGTCACCACAGAGGACTCAGCCAGTTCAGCGCTGGAGCCAGGGGAGCTTTTGAGAAGCCACATTTGCAGCAGGAAGAACAAAGAGGGGCAGCCCTTTGCTCTGGGTAGACAGTGTTTTGTAAGTGGGGAGCCAAGAGGAAGCAAGACTGTTCACTTGCTGTTTTTATTCTGGCTTCGCCATCAAAGAGACGGGTCAGACAGGAAAGAACAGATGGGACGAACATGCCGCCGGGCAAATCAAATCAGAGCTGGAGACAAGCATAAGCTCGTCTAGAGGGGGCAGTGGGGTGAGGTCTGGCCTCCAGGCCAGAAGACTTTGCAGAATTGACTCTGGAGTCAGCCCCTGTAATATCTGAGAAATACGGGGGCGGGTGCTGGAGGAGGGCCAGAGGAGTGAGGATGAAGGAAACGCCAGGGACCTATGCACATCAGAGTCCTCGAATCGCTAGATTCTCCAGTTTGACTCATAATGTAGACCTAGAGCTTAATTTGAATTTAGGGAGATTTGCTGGGGATGGAGACTTTTAGTTGACACAGCAGTAGGGAGATTTATCCAATACTGGTACATTGAGCCAGCTCACCAGTTTCCGTGTGCGCGTCCAGCCAGGAGACCAGCCTGCTGTTTGCTTTCTTGAGATCTAGCGCATCTTCCTGTGTTCTTCTCTCCTCTCGCCATTTCCCGGGAGAATCAAGGGTGGCTTCTAATCTGTTCTTATGAATCCACTGGATCTGAGGATTTGGGGAGGTTCCTACTCCTCCCAGCTTTCTCCTTTACCCAACAGAACATAATTCCTCTTGTACCCCCCCGCCCTCCGCTTCCATCTGCTGCTCAAGGCTGGTGGGGGTGGTGAGGGCTGGTAAGAGGGGATCCTGCAAGTTCACACCAATAGACAGTGCAGCCGCCAAGGGCTTAATTAAGTCATATCAGAAGGCTGAATGTGGAGATTCCATTAAGAGGGGAGCAGACTGATCAATTGCAAGTACAACTAGGAGTCAACAGTTGGAGGGGAGAAGTTAAAAATGCAAAGCTTTAAAGAATGTTTCTCTATCTCAACCTGAAGATTAAGAGCATAGAGCTACAAGGGTGAAAAATGGAGACTGTGAAATCAGATATTTCAGGAAACATATATGGGCATCTTCCTTGTTCAAATGGTTGGAGAGACTAGGATAATTAGACTATGGTTCCTGTCTGTAACTAGCCCCGTCTACTGGGAGAGACAAACTATGAGGAGTCAATATCCATAAAATGTGCCAGATAGAAACCTAGCACAAGCCACACATATGTTTTAAATTTGCTAGTAGCTACATTTTTTAAAAAGTAGAAAGGGAGCCAGCCCTGATAGTCTAGTGGTTAAAGTTCGGTGCTCACCGGGTTCAGTGCCTGGGCACAGAACCATACCACCCGTCTGTCAGTTGCCATACTGTGGCGGCGGCTCACATAGAAGAACTAGAACCACTTACAACTAAGATATACAACCATGTAGTGGGGCTTTGGGGAGGAAAAAAAAAAGAGAGGAAGATTGGCAACAGATATTAGCTCAGGGCAAATCTTTCCCTGCAAAAAAAATAAAAAGTAAAAAGGAACAGATGAAATTAATATTAAAAATATATTTTATGTAACCCAGTATATCCAAAATATCATTTCAACGTGTAATCAACATTTTTAAAAATTATATGGGGCCGGCCCAGTGGCATAGCGGTTAAGTTCGCACACTCTGCTTCAGCAGCCCAGGGTTCACAGGTTCAGGTCCCAGACACAGACCTACGCACCACTTATCAAGCCATGCTGTGGCAGGCCTCCCACATATAAAGTAGAGGATGATAGGCATGGGTGTTAGCCCAGGGCCAGTCTTCCTCAGCAAAAAGAGGAGGATTGGCAACAGATGTTAGCTCAGGGCTAACCTTCCTCACCAAAAAAAAAAAAAAAAAAAATTATTGAAACATTTACTTTTTTTTATATGAAATCTTTGGAATCTGGTATGTATTTCACACTTACAGCACATGTTGATTCAAACAAGCCACATTTCAAGTGGTCAGTAGCCACACATGGCTCCTGGCTACCATAGTGGACAGTGCAGGGCTGGGGGCTGAAACTGAGGGACACATAGGATGCTGGGGAGCACCAAAGAGGGCCCCTAACTCAGCCTGAGGATGCACAGGAGATTCTGCTTGTTATTCCAAGACAAATTTATCCTGGCCCTGCAACATCCCTGCTTCCTAGAGGAAATGACGCCCAGGCTGTGCCAGCCCCGCAGCATCATGATGGTCCTAATAATCTCCCTCCGAGTTTACAAGAGGAACTGTCAGAGGGTAACCTGTGATCACTTAGCAAATGAGGTGCAGATTTATTGTCAAATTTTTTTTAATTGTGGTAAAATACTCATAACATTTACCATCTTAACCATTTTTATTTATTTTGTGTGTGTGTGAGGAAGATCAGCCCTGAGCCAACATCTGCCAATCCTCCTCTTTTTGCTGAGGAAGACTGGCCCTGGGCTAACATCTGTGCCCATCTTCCTCCACTTTATATGGGATGCCACCACAGCATGGCTTGACAAGCGGTGCGTCGGTGCCCTCCCGGGATCCGAACTGGCAAACCCCGGGCTGCCGCAGCAGAGTGCACACACTTAACCGCTTGCACCACTGGGCTGGCCCCTTTAACCATTTTTAAATTTTTTTGGTGAGGAAGATTAGCCCTGAGCTAACATCTATTGCCAATCCTCCTCTTTTTCCTGAGGAAGATTGGCCCTGAGCTAACATCCGTGCCCATCTTCCTCTATTTTATATGTGGGACACCTGCCACAGCATGGCTTGATGAGCGGTGCTTAGGTCTGTGCCCAGGATCCGAACCTGTGAACCCCAGGCCACCAAAGCAGAGTGCACAAACTTCACTATACCACCAGGCCGGCCCCCATCTTAACCATTTTTAAGTATACAGTTAGGTGGTATTAAGTACATTCACATTGTTCTGCAACCATCACTACCATCCATCCACAGAACTCTTCTTTTCTTGTAAGACAGAAAATGTCCCCACTAAACACTAACTCCCCATTCCCCACCCCCCAGCCCTTGGCAACCACCACTCTCCTTTCTGTCTGAATTTGACTATCCTAGATACCTCATACAAGTGGAATCATACAGTATTTATCCTTTTGTGTCTGGCTTATTTCACTTAGCAAAAGGTTCATCCATGTTATAGCATACGTCAGAGCTTCCTTACTTTTTAAGGCTGAATAATATTCCATTGTATGGATAGACCACATTTTGTTTATCCATTCATCCGTTGATGGACATTTGGGCTGCTCCCACCTTTGTTGTGAATAATGCTGCTCCGAACATGGGTGTACAAATATCTCTTTGAGACCCTGCTCTCAGTTCTTCCAGAAGTGGAATTGCTGGGTCATATGGGAGTTCTATTTTTAATTTTTTGAGGAACTGTCAGAAGGTTATTGTCACGTTTTTTTAAAACAGCATTTTCCAGCCAGGAGTTCTGTATAAAATCTTTGTAAGCCCAGAAAAAGAAATGGGAACATTTTTTATTAACTTTCTTCGTTTTTCTCTTGCAGTTTTTGGGCCACCCTCATCACAGCAGGCTTCTGTTCTTCTCTTTCCCACCCTCTGATGAGGATGAAGTTTTTGACAAACTGAGTATCATTACGGAAGTCTCTGGAAGCAGCAAGCCTAATCCTGGGGACGGCTGCAGCCCCAGGACCCCATCTGGGCAGGGCTCCTTCGAGCTCGTCTCTGAGGGGGGAACACACTCAGCTGGGCACAGTGACCCCCTACTTCTCACATCTGCCTCAGACGATGATCAGAGCAACAAACAAGGGCCAAGACCACCTAAGCAAACCCCAAATCTAGAACTCTCAGACGCTGGGACAACATCTGAACAACCAAAGAGCTAGATTTTAAAGGCTCACTTCAGGGGTTGGCCCAGTGGTGTGGCAGTTAAGTTCACACACTCTGCTTCAGCGGCCCGGGGTTCGCGGGTTCAGATCCAGGGCCCGGACCTACACATCACTCATCAAGCCATGCTGTGGCAGCGTCCCACATACAAAAAATAGAGGAGGATGGGCACAGATGTTAGCTCAGGGCCAATCTTCCTCAGCAAAAAAGAAAGAAAGGCTCACTTGGCAAAAATACTCCATCTTGGAACCTGGCTGCTTTATAAAGACCTTAACGATTAAAAAAAATAGTTGGCCCCTGAAAGTGTAATTTTAGGCCTCTGATGCTCACTGATATAAGGAACAAGTTTTAATGGTGAGAAATAAAATGAGGAATAAAAACTGAGATGCTGTAAAATCCCACCAGACGGCCGATAGACTGATCCAAAAAAACAGCATCAACGCAGAAGCAGTCAGCAAACGCTGTACAGAGCGCAGACGTTTTGGATTCTCAGGGAGACTTCCACTGGACTTATTTTTCTACTTGCATGTGTTTTATATAGTGCTGGTGGTCTATGGTTTTATTCTCTATTTAATCCGTATGTGTTAATGATATTACATTTGTGTAATTGTCAGATATTGAATGAGGCTCTCGTGTGCCATTCATTCAGTGGACATTCCTTGGTCCCTGCCTGCTGTCAGCCAGGAACCGTGCCGGGTGTGAGGGCCTAACAGCATCCACGAGCTCTCAGTGTGTAGGAAGCTTCAAAGAATAGAAAGCCCTGGGTTTTGAACTCCACCTGAGACACTTACTGGCCTGTGACTTCTCAGTTTCCTCACCTGGACTAAGGATTAGCAATATTCCATGAAAAATGCCCACCCCAGTGCCATCCCAGAGTAGACACCCCATAAATGGCGGTTCTTACCAGCAACATAGTCTCATGGGTATGACTTTAACACCACAAACTTAGGTCAGCAACAAATGCCCCTTCCTCTGGGCCAGATTGCCCAATAAAACAGATTCGTCAAAGGTTCCAGAAATAGAAAAAACACTTTTTGAAATAACCTGGCATTTTAAAAATGAAGCATCGTAGAGGGAAAAGTCAGAAGTTTATTGACCTTCCTCGTATTCATTTTCCAGTTCAGTATTTTTAAGTTCTTTTCAATAACGTTGTAAGGAAGTGCTCACCATGTTTTCAGTTCTCAGTGCCCCCAAAGATCTTACTCTGGTCTGGGGCTGGTCTTATGACAAGGGAGAAAGCGATTCTCTTCCCCAGTTGAGCTCTTCCTCCCTGAATGTGGAGTGACAGGACGGCTGTCAGGTTCTGCACCCCGTGGTTGCATCTGGCTCGGGAGAAGAGGCGATATCCCATTCTTCATCCAATCCCTGCTCTGGACACTTGGCATTCTTTTGCCTACTTTGCGCCTGAATCCCCTTCATATGTCTGAGGCATCGCCAACCTTGCAAATGTGAACACCTCTCCCTTTTTAGGGGCTCACGATGCCACATGCTCGTTTCCCAGCCCCCTTGCTGCTGGGCTGTAGGCACACAACTCAGGCCACAGCCCGGCTTTGAGTTAGAAGAGGGCAACAGCAGTAGAGGCACTGGTTCTAGTAGAAGCGTCCGGTGGTCAGCGGGACTCAGCACCAGCAGCAGTAATGTCCCCCCCAGACTGGGTCTCATTTGTACCTTGTTCCTGCCTGTGTCCCCCTGAGGCTGTTCCTCCAACCCTTCCAGAGATGCTGTGAGCTCCCCAACATCATACTGAGAAATTCCTTTTCTGCTTATATCAGCCAGAGTCAGTTTCTAATGTTTGTCACTAAAACCCTGAGCAAAATGGAGTGGATGTGGATTTTCTAGTCCTAAAAATCCACCTGATCAGGCACAGGAGTAAGAGGAATGTGACCTCTCTGGGGCGGTTCCTAGCAGAGGGAGTTGACAGTACCACCTTCCCTCCAGAGGTGGGGGGTCCTGAAGGGCTTCGATGGGGGAACAGTTGAAGCCCGAGATTGGCTAGCTGGAGTCTGAGAGGCTAACAACCTCCCACCAAGAATGGGAGATGCAATGGGGAGAAGACGAGGGGAGAGAAACACACAGGCTCTCCTGGGCCAGGAGCTGACCACTGAGCTGCTGCCTCCTGCTGGGGAAAACCCCCAGATTTTGTGTTGTGCAGGTGGAACCAGAGACATCTCATCGACCAAGGACTCTAACCGCTGAGAAATGCACTATTGTCTGCTCACACATGCCCGACTCCCAACACTGATGGATATTTGCTTAGTGCTGAAATCAAGGCCTCCCACATACTCACCATCCTCCTAGTAACTCTGTTTAGCTCTTGACGGCCTCTTTAATGATGAAATCTACTCATGTCTCTGGCGTGATAAGTAGTAAGAGGCCATTTGGCCTGCAAGATATCAGCAATCTTAGCGATAAGGAATTCTATTTCTCGCAATATGGCTGATTAGACAATCTCCTTGACTTTCAGATGAAATCAACTAAAATGCTGGATGTCATGTCTAAAAAACAATGTTTCCTAGCAAAGAGGCCTAGAGGAGCTGATCCAGTGCCACCTTTCACCTTGACGGCATTTAAAAAACCCTGAGGATTTCAGTCCCTCACAAGGGCTCAGGGGACAGAAGACAAAGCTCAGGGCTCACCCAAGGTCGGGTCTAAAGGAGATCTCCCGCATAAATCTGAAATCGTAAAGAGCCACCCCTTCTGTATAAGGGTGAACTAGGAATAAACGAATCCCATCCCACTCCCGTATTAGCTGCCATAATAAAGTACCACAAACTTGGTAACTTAAAACAACGGAAACTGGGGCTGGCCCGGTGGCATAGCGGTTAAGCACGGGCGCTCTGCTGCTGGCGGCCCGGGTTCAGATCCCGGGCGCACACCGACGTACCGCTTGTCAAGCCATGCTGTGGCGGGGCGGTGTCCCATATAAAGTAGAGGAAGATGGGCACAAATGTTAGCCCAGAGCCAGTCTTCAGGAAAAAAGAGGAGGATTGGCAGATGTTAGCTGAGGGCTGATCTTCCTCACACACACACAAAAAAAACAGAAACTTATCCTCCCACAGTTCTGGACTCCAGAAGTCCAAACTCAGTATCACTAGGCTGAGGTCAAGGTGTTGAAAAGGTCTTCAGAGGTTCTAGGGGACAGTGTGTTCCTTCCCTCTTCCAAATGCCAGCATTCCTTGGCTCGTGGCAGCATGACTCCAATCTCTGCCTCCGTATTCACATCACCTTCTCCTCTTCTGTATGTGTCTCCCTCTGCCTCTCTCGTAAGAACACTTGTATTTGCATTTAAGGCCCACCCAGATAATCCAAGATAATTTTCCCTTCTCAAGATCCTTAATTTAATCACATCTGCAAAGACCCTTTTTCCAAATAAGGTCACATTCACAGGTACCAGAGATTAGGACCTGGTGTCTTTGGGGATTGTTATTCAGCCTAGTACACACTCCCACCAGGGGTTACCAGGGAACCTTTTTGGTTTTGGTTTTGTCTTCTCATTGAAGGGGCAAAATATATCTTTCCTGCAAAGTTATAATCTCAAACAGTTGGTTTTAGCCCGAAATCAGACGATCTGGGTAGTCAAATAAAATTCAGGGGTAACTGTTAGGAATCACAAAACCTCAAAGGAAAGCATCATAAGCAAGAGCCAGCAGAAATAACAAGCAGCTAAGCCAGACCCACAAAGACTTCAGATCCTGATAGAAACAGAGAATATAGCATGCTTAGAATAGTTAAATAAATGCAAGAAGGCATTGATAATGTCAGGAAAGCACAAGAGGCTGAATAATTCATGACCCCCAAATCTCAGTGGCTTTTAATAACGAAGACTTGCTTCTCACTCATTGTATGTGTGGCTGGAGACGAATTGTGGGTCTGCTGTAATCTCAGTGACTTCATTCTAGGATCTAGGGTGAAGACCATGCCAAATGGGAAAAGAAATGCCAATTCCCGCAACAGTTCTTAGAGCTTCTGCTTGGACGTGGAGCATGTCACTTCTGTCCACATTGCTTTGGCCAAAGACGTGGCCGAGTCCAGTGTCAACAGAGCAGAAAAGTGTACTGCTCCCCGAGGAGAAACTGCAAGTCACGTGGCAACAGGTGGGAATGTGTGATTCTCTTACAAGGGGAGAGGAAATAATTGGCAGCAATAATTACAATCTACTACAGACTAAGAAGTGAACAAACAGATTTAGGGGGGTGGCAAATAGACCCCTAGAAATGAAAAATATAATAATTCAAATTTAAAAGTCAGAGGATGAGCTTAACAGCAGTTTAGACACAGCTGAAGACAGAATAAGTAAACTGGGCAGACAAGTCAGCATTCAGAGAAACAGAACCAACAGGATGTACATATATATATATATAGGAGAGAAATTTGTTTTAAGGAATTGGCTCATGCAATTGTGGAGGCTGGCAAGTCCAAAATATGTAGGGCAGACGGAGAGGCCAGAGACCCAGGGAGGAGTTGATGTTTCGGTTGAGTCCAAAGGCAGTCTCAAGGCAGAATGAGTTCTTCCATCAGGGACTTCAGTCTTTTTTCTCCTAAGGCCTTCAACTGATTGGATGAGACCCACCCACATTATGGAGGGTAATCTGCTTTACTCAAAGTCTACTGATTGAATTGTTAATCTCATCTAAAAAATATCTTCACAGCAACATTCACACTGGTGTTTGATCAAATATCTGGGTACTATGGCCTAGCCAAGTTGACACATAAAATTAACCATCACTGGGAGGGTAGATCTGAAGCGATTATCAAGAGTGTAGTACAGAGAAACATAAGGATGGAAAATATGAGAGGTTAATATGTAAGATATATGAAGGATAGAGTGAGGTGATCTGTTACATGTCTAATCACAGTCTCAGAAGGAGAGATGAGAAAGGATGAGGCAAAAGCAATATTTGAATATTTGAAAAGACAATGGCTGATAAAAGACATCAGTCTACAAATTCAGGAATCCTAATAAATCCCAAACCAGACAAATAAGAAGAAATCACATCAGAGTGAAACTGTAAGTGAACATAAGTGAGGCCATCTTGTTACGCTAAATGACTCCAGCCCCTCCTCTGTGTGACTACTGGCTGCTCTGCACGTACTTTAAAAAAATTCACATGCTCTCCTGATTTATGGCCCCTGCTTATGTATGTACTCCCCTATAGCTTGATAAATTAAAACTTTGTTCTATGAGTTTCTCTCCAAGAACAGGCTGACCAGAGGTGGGAAACACACCTACAAGATATTCATCATCACTGACAGAAGAAAAGAACAATGAAAGATCCTGGAGTCCATCATGCCTGAAGGCCAACATTTCTAAACCCCTCCTTACTGCCCACTTTCCCTATATAATTACCTCAAGATTCTGTAATTCTTGAAGATGGTTTTTTTGAGACATTAGTCTGCCTTTAGCTGATTATTCCAGCTAATCAAACTAAAGCTTCCTTTCTTGATCCCTAACTCGTTGTGATTGATTGGCTCAGATCGCCGTGAGGGGAGCGAGCCCATTGCTTGGTAACAAAACTGCAGGACAGCAAAATCAGAGAAGGCATATTCCCTTCAAAGGAAGAACAATTATACTTATGGATGATTTCTCAGCAGTAATAGAAGCCAAAAAGTGAGAGAA